ATTAACCATACTCCTAGGCTGGGCACAGTGGCTCACGCTTGTAATCTTAGCACTCTGTGAGGCCGAGGCAGGAGGACTGCTTGAGCTCAGGAGTTCGAGACCAACCTGAGCAAGAGTGAGATGCGCCGTCTCTATGAAAATTAGGTGGGTGTCATGCATGGCACGTGCCTGTAGTCTCAACTACTCCAGAGACAGGCCCAAGGATCACTTGAGCCCAGGAGTCTGAGGTTGCAGTGAGCCATCATGATGCCACTGCACTCTACGAGGGGCGACAGAGTAACATCCTGCCTCAAAAAACAAAACACAGTCCCAGGAAATTGTGTGAAAATCTTAATATGGTAAATTCTATTTGGAGACAGAGTAGTAAAGCTCTATTACTAAAGCTCTTGCTAAATAGTATATTGAATTTTCAGTGCAAAGAGGTGGTACGATCACAGATTCAGTAACACAGGATATTTGGGAAAGTAAAAATAGGGAAAAATGAAGAAAACACATACTGAAGTAAGAAATAGGGATTAGCAAAAAATGAGATGTAAAATAATCATACTTTCCTGCAATTAATGATATCACAGGAAATTTTTATATCCAGTTTTCTTAATTCAATGATTTCTAGCCATTCTAACTTTGTGATTTCACATTTTCCTGTCTTCCTAAAAGTGTTTCTTAGCATAAACTTTTGAAACTTAGAAATGAATTGACTTAAAGAAAAACAAAACTCTGAGGTAACTGCAAAGCAAGTTAGGAAACATAACTTTAACTGGCATTGCCTTTAAAAATTTTATTTAGTGAAAGAAAATAACTGATTTTGATGACAAGAAATTCTTCTGCTATGTGTATAATAAATGCAATGATTCAAAACAAACAAAAAAATACGCAAAAAAAAAAAGAAAAGGCAATGATTACCAAAATGGTGTACCACAAGAGTGTTCAACAGAACACTTACAGACATACAGTGAAAAATGTGACCTGTGTTAAAATTACCTTTCACTTAGTGTTCCTTGAATTTAACAAGTCATTTAGACTGTAGGGCTTCTCAAAGCCTTTAATAATATTTAATAATTTTTCTAAAGGAAAATTTAATTTGGTAAATCCTATTTGTGAATTTCTGAAAAAGATATTTTCATTTAGAACATATCCATTAATCATATTTCCTATTCACTCCCTACCACCACTGCCTCCCCAAAACATTTTAAAAGTTGAGCTCTGGCCAGGCTCATGCCTGTAATCCCAGCACTTTGGGAGGCTGGGGCAGGAGGACTGCTTGAGCTCAGGAGTTGGAGGCTGCAGTGAGCTGTGATGGCACCACTGCACTCTAGCCTGGCAATAAAGCGAGACCCTATCTCAAAAAAAAAAAAAAAGTTGAATTCCAAAGGAGAATCTTGAAGTCTTGAAACATAAAACATTAAATAGTTGCTATAAGCCAAGGAAAGTTAAGTGCAACATAAGAGTTCCTCTAAGTAAATATAAAATGTACACACATATATTTATAACATATATGCTAACATATTAAAGCAAGCATTGTTAATCCTATAAAAAGCTACAGTTAGATAAAAAAAATTCTAAAAATCAGGTCAACAAAGCTCTACTGCCACCTATAGATTAATTCTAAATGGACAAGACCAACATTTTTCCCTGCTTTACAAGAATTATTCAAAAGCATAATATATATAGAAACTAAAGTGATTCAAATAAACTATCAAATGTACAAATTTACATTATTGCAAATTTAATCTACATGCAAGCATCTATCAATCAACCGAAGATGAGCAAAGTATAGAATGTGATCATATATCCCTGATCTTTACCCATAAATCTATTCCTGGAGTAAATCATCATTCAAGAAAACTTCAAAGTAAAAAACTCTAACTAAGATTTGAAAAACTTGATTGTACATAACAAGACAAATCCACACAGCTGGAAATTGATGCTTTGAAATCTTCCAGCATTATCTTTAGAAAACTTAAATTCAGTTATATAAAACTTTGTGTTGAGCTGTAACTGTCGTACAGGTGCATCCTGGCCCACATTTCTTAGTAAGTTTGTTTCAAGATTGTCAGTTATAGCACAGCCAAAGAGACCTATTTTCCTGTACATTCTTCTTCCTTTCAGTCAATAGAGAGAGCTCTCCACACAGAATTTTTTATTAGTAGAAAGCCAACTGTACCAACCAAAAATGCCAAATGATATCTTGCTTAATTCTATTTCATTTCATAAACTTTCACAAAGGAAAAAAGGAAATTCTGAAGCAAAGACACATTTTAGAATTCTAACCAATAAAAATGAAATTTTTCTTAAACTATTTGCAAAACATACCAACTTTAAAAGCAGAGCATATTTCTCATCTCAGTCTGTATCAATATCCATAGCTATGGTAATTTTTGTTTTGGGGATTTTTTTTGCAAGAAAATCCCTCTAGCTCTGAAGTTCGCAGTCTTTTAAGTAGGCACAATCCCCTCTTCTTTGTATTGCCTTCTGATGAAAGCTTTTGGGGAAGTGGGTGGGAATTGAGTGTTAACAATAACAGTAGAGCAAAAGAAAGCGACAGCACAACAAAATGAAGGCAAAATAGAAGCAGGTCTCTCTCCACCTGATAAACTCCAAGACAGTTGTAAAAACTAGATAACTCAATAATCACACTTCTCAGAAGCAAACAAAACCTGTACAGTAAAATTAATGACTCAGAATAATTTTAAAAAATATGTTTTGCAATTATTTAAAATGAATATGCATTGTAAAAGAATCCTTTAAGTAAATTTGATTTCACAGGGCTTAATTTCTTTCAGCTACCAAATTGGACTTACTATTTCTCCTTGTTTCAGATATGGCAGAAAAATATATAAAAGATTATTGGAACAGGTGAATGATCAAAAGATACCAGCATGTGATCTCTTTCCATATGCAACTAGAGGATTCACTCTCAAGAGTCTTATTTCCTAGTTTGTGGGTAGTTTGGCTCCTGTGTTTCTTCTGGATATTTCTACCTATTAACCACTTCATTGCACATTAATGAATAAGAAAATGCAGACAATATACCTACAGAGATTTGAATCAAAGCTAAGATTCAAAAGTCTTCTAATTTAACCTCAACTCTGGTGATTACAAACACTGTCATCTGAAACGTTACTATATGTACTTTGTAATTAAGTGGTAGGATGAAACTTCAAAATCAGTTCAATCCTTCTTCATTTCACAGTTGAGAAAATCATAAGAAAACTAGTTAGCGCAGACATGGTGTCAACTAAAGTTTTGTTAACTCCTAGACCAATACTTTTTCAACTAAATAATGCTGTTCTCCATAACTGCTCCTTATTTTATTTTCTGTGATATTTTTGCTTAACCAAACAGTGCCTGTGAAAGATGATAAGCTGAAGTATATCTAGCACGGCCAGAAAATTCCAAGTCTCAGATCAAATACAAAACACACTACTTAATTTTCTATCCAACATTTTTTAACAGCATGCTACTGTTAATCCTCCTAGCTGCCAACACTTTCCTATTTATTGTTCATCCCATTTCTCTATCACTGTAATTGTTTTAGTTATATAGTATCCTATGTTACATAAAACGTGATGCTAATTATAACAAGCAAATATTCAGTGCTCACTGTATTAGAAACTATTTAAAGCCCTTTACAGGTAGCATCTCACTTAATCCTCATTTTTAAATAAGAAAAATCGTGTAATACCCACTTTATAGGGGCAAAAATCAGAGCCTCGGGGGTTATCTGATTTACCCTAATTCACAAACAATTAAGAGGAACAACTTGGAAAAGTAACCAACCTTACTCCAGCGTTTATGTTCCTAGTTTCTACGTATAACAAGTGCATATAATTACATGGATTGCATTATTAATGTGAAGATAACTCAAAATTGGAGGCTACGTAAGAATTTAAAGAGACTTTGTATTTGAAGATGTTTCCTAACACATAAAAATGCTTAATATCTTCTTTGCAAAGACATGACCCGAGTAAGAACTTTAAACTCCTTTATGGATAATTAAAACTCCAATCTGAAAATCAAATGGAAAAAGACTGCAGCAATACTTCAACAAATGTCCAGATCAGCATTCTAAAACTTTCTGCAGTAATGGAAATGTTTTCTATCTGTACTGTCCAATATAGTAGACACTAGCCACATGTGATTATTCAGCACTTGAAATGTATCTAGTGTGAGTGAATAACTGATTTTGAATAACCTGTAATTTAAATTTAAGCTAAAATAGCCACATGTGGCTAGCAGCTACCATACTAGACAGCACAGGTATAAGAAGACAGTATCAGAAAAAGATGAGTGAAGAAATTTTTTTTTTTTTTTTTGAGACAGAGTCTCACTCTGTTGCCCTGGCTAGAGTGCGTGCCGTGGCGTTAGCCTAGCTCACAGCAACCTCAAACTCCTGGGCTCAAGTGATCCTCCTGCCTCAGCCTCCCGAGTAGCTGGGACTACAGGCATGCACCACCATGCCCGGCTAATTTTTTCTGTATTGTTTTAGTTGTCCGATTAATTTCTTTCTATTTTCAGTCGAGACGGGGTCTTGCTCTTGCTCAGGCTGGTCTCGAACTCCTGAGCTCAAGCAATCCTCCCGTCTCAGCCTCCCAGAGTGCTAGGATTACAGGCGTGAGCCACCGCGCCCGGCCTAGTGAAGAAATTTTTATTGCCTTTATTTGGAGATTTCACTAACAGTCAAATCAATTTAAATGTCTTTTTCACTTGCTCCAGCTTCAATTATTAACTTAAACATATACCTTCAAATAAATTTAAATAAATCAAAACTTTCTATATTTAAGATTTTCTCTGTGTACCTGAATGGAAAAAATAATTAAAACCTGTATTAGAACAAAGCTTCATAAATTAGAAACTTTTAAATATTTGGATAGCTAAGATGAATTTGAAAACTCTGCCACCTATGAGAAAAAAAAAAAAAAAAAAAAAAGTCAAACATGTTTTCAATTCTCTTCATAGTAAACACTTGATAATGAAGTGCTTAATAAAGTGCTACTTACCTTGATTCTCTGCTACTATTTCTAACACTTTCTTCATCACTGTGTCCATTCATTGTAAATACCAAGAAGTTTTAAAATAAAATATAAATCTTCCCAGTTTAAAAGATGAATATAAATACTGACTCCTTCTTGAATATAAAAAAAAATTCACAGATGAATTTTCTTCCACATTCACAGGTTTCCCGGGTCCCTCTTTGATTCACCTAAAGAAAATATATTAACAAAGTAAGAAAATTTCCTGTAGAAAAAACGTAAATAAGCCATGTTTAGAACTTGTATAAATCTACATAGGCCAATTAGATGAGAGGTGGTAAGGAAGGAGTGGGGCCTTTTACTTAAAATATGTACGATTCTATTAACTACATTCCTGATTACTTACTAGAATTTAGTATGCTACTGTTAATATATTTCTGACAGAAGAAATTAAAATATTTATGGAGTGATAACACTTTTAGAGACTCACTGCAACTGTGCAACCACATTTATATATATTACTAAAGCAAAACAGTCCTATGTAACAAATTTAAATATATCTCCAAAACAGAAAATGGAATCTTATTAGATAACTTGGTCCACTGAATGAAGTGAGGGGGGAAAAAAGGTTATCTTTAATCAAGCCCTAATTCCTATCACCAAGAACTCTTCATATACTCAAGTGAGAGAAAGTTTTGAAAATGCTCACACGAGAGGAACAGGATAATAAAAGGTATCATATCATCTAAACAAAAATGTATAGGTCAAAATAAACGTGTTCTTTCACAGGCAAACTGAAAATGGATAAAATTTAAATACTCTTTATCCAGTTTGCATTTGCAACGATTCCGTGAAAAAATAAAAATGGTAATACAATATACACTACATCTGATTTTTTAAGTAAAGGGTTTGGGTCAAAAATAATGAACCAAGACACAGCATTTCCACCTTTCAAGATTTCAGAACAACACTGGAGAGTCACCTACAAGCCATCCACGAATAAACAAAGGAGATCTCTGGCAGGGGAGGGAGAGGAAGAAGCGGGGGAAGGAGACGTCAGATCCTTCCCCAGCCAGAAAGTACCGAGACAGCCAAGTGAGAGCAGAGCTGTCCTCCGACCTCAGCAAAGAGAATTCACTCCTACGACTATTTCCATTCCGCAAAAAAGGGGGGGAGGCTGGTGGTGGAAATAGGCTGTTACCAACTCAATCATAGCAAACTGTGTGTCCGGATCAAGATTTTAATTCTCCAGACTACGGTCTGATAGACTCTTTGCAAGAACAGGTTGTTCCTAATGTTAAATATTAATTTAAACTCTAGTCAGAGAGCTTTGCTATTAAACAATTAATTAAGTCTTAAAAATCTAAGGACTCTAACAAACTGCCTCTTTACCAAAAGCCTTCATTAAGAAAGTTCACTCCTCTTTTCCTTCTTTCCTTTTCACCTTCCTTTCGCCTCTCAAAATGGCTTTCTCTGTACATTTTAACTTCTTTTCCCCTCTTCATCTCCCTTATCTGAGTAAGTCCCTGTCTGAGATCGTTTTTACAACCCTAAGTTCTGAAGCTCGGAGCGCACGCAGCTCTCTCCTGTCTCTAAAGCGTCTCAACAATGACTGCTCCCTAAGTTGTTAAACCCCTTCAATCCTTTTCTTCTATCCTCTTTTAGCAGTTTCTTTGCTCCTGCTAAGTTTCTGAAGCTATACTCGAAAAAGGTTTGGGAACCATCCTCCTCGCTCATCCACCCAATGCAGCTTCGCTCCAATCAGCCTCTCTCCTGGAACTCCCCCCCTTCTCCCAGGGCCTCCATCCCGGTCCCGGAGTCTCTCTTCCCGCCTCAAACTTCCCGCAGACCCGCCCCGCGCCCTCCCAGGCTCGCCCGAGCCGCCGCCCCCTCCCCCTCCCCGCCGCTCCCCACGTGCTGAGAGCCCGGGTCCCGGCAGGACCGACGCGCCGGCTAAGTACTCGCCACTCGCGGCTCTTCCCTTGCGGCCCTGCCGGCCCCAAGCCGAGGAGGCCCAGGCCGGGCAGCCCGGCTGGCGCAAGGATGCGCTGCGCGGCCGTCGGCCTGTGCTCGCCGCTCACACGCCCCCTGCGCGCCGGGCCCGTCCGCCGCCACCGGCCCTCGCAGAACCGCCCTGGCCTTCGCCCGGTCGCTGGGCCGACGCCTGGGTACGGCGTCGCGCCCGCCCTCCGCCTGGCCGGCTCCTATCCTCCCCTCCACATCCTGACCCGGCCGCTGCCCCCTTTCTTACCGGCGGACGTGCGGGCTTAGCGGGGCGGAGGGAGCCGGCTTGGGTCGGCGGCCTCCCCCGCGCCCGGGCCCGCGATCTCAGCCGCCGAGTCCTCGGGCTCCGGGCGTCTTGGGGTAAGCAAGAATCCGTGAGGGGGAGGGGGAAATGGGAAAGACGCGGAGGGGAAGGGGAAGCCCCGGCCCGCGACACCAACGAGCGATCCCCTGCGGAGTGGATCCAACAATCAATTCATTATTGAAGCACCAAACGCGAGGACAGCAAAAGCTAGAAGTAACGAGTCGTCGTCGCCGCTGCCGTCGCGCGCGCGCTCCCGCTCCCGCCGCTTATCGGCCCCCGGCAGCCGCCATGACGCCAAGAGAGCGAGCGAGCGCAACCGTCTCCGTCGTAGCCGCCGCCGCCACCGAGGTCGCCGTCGCCTCCGCCTCCCGCGCGACGTAAGCGCCTCTGCTCACTCCCCTTCCCCACAGGGCGCGAGGCGGGCGGGCCAGTAGGCGCGCGCACGCCGAACTCTTTCTGCTGGCGCTCCAGCAGTGGGAGGGACCACGTTGGGGGAGTTGTGGGCGTGGAAAAAAGCGATTGGTGCCGGGGCGGGGCGGAGAGCGAGTGCGCGCACGCGCACGCGCACGGACGGAAGCGCGCACGCCGGCTGCGCGGAGGCCGCTGGACTCTGGCCGTAACCGTGGCCGGCTTGTCCTCGCTCGGGTGCCCGCCCTTAGCGGCCCGGCGTTGAATTCCGGGAAGTGGGAGCTACAGGCTCGCTCCGTGCGGGTATGGGCGCTACCGTCGTTTGGGACGGTTGCGCAAGCACGTCGCGGCAGAGACAGAAGGAACCGGGGTGGAACTGGGGTGGAGAGAGACCGGAGACCGCTATGAGACTCGAGAAGCCACGGAAGGGCCGCGCTGCAGAAGCCGAAGGGGCAGGGTTGCTCGTAGGGTCGGGGTCGCGCAGGCCTCGGCCCGCACTGCCTCGGGCCCCCTGCCGCGTCTGAGCTCCGGTCTGCAGGGGCCGGGCGGGGACTGCTGCGTCACACCGGCAGCCTGGGAACCCAACTGTTGGGCAACTGTGGCCGCTTCTCGCTGCCTCCTACGCTTGGACGAGCTGTGACTGAGGCTCCCTCGGGGGCTGATATCCCGCACGGGCAGGGCACGTGAGGAGAAGGAGAGAAAATAGAGATCGGGTTGTTGACATCCTGTGTTACAGTTTGATTCATTTATGGGTGGCGTGGCTCAGAAAAGAACTTTTACAACCTTTCCTTTCTAGGTCCCTCCCTGAAGGGTGCGGCGCTGAATCGCAACACCACCACAAAAAGCTGCTCGAGGGATGTTGGTAACTGTCTCAGTTTAACGTACTGCAATTTAGTTGACGGTTTCTTTCCTAACTGTAACTGTGGGCCTTAGTTACAGCTCTTTCAATGTGTTGGAAACACTGTCTTTGTAAGCATGATGATGTCCCTCTTTATTTTTGAAAGCATTGTTTTTTTTAATTAAAATTGTTTTGCACTTCATTTATTTTTCCAGTCTGCAGATCGATCTTGAATCACTTGAGGTTAATGATAATTTTTAAAGCATCTAATCCCATTCTTCAGTAATTTGATTTAGTATAAAGGCCCACCTTCCAAGTCAAGTGAGCTTGATTGCAGTAACATGCATTCCCCAAATAATTATTTTCTCCTGTGGGAAATATTTTTTGTTTTTTATTTTCTTAGATTACTGTAATAAAAGCTCCAGAGAAACTAACCATTAGCAGATAAAGAATTTTGTAATCAAAAGTATAATTCAGATAACAAAGTTCTCAATTACAACAGCACTACGTTTGTCATTGTCTTACAAAAAGAATTACTGTAAAGACAGTCTATTTTACATGTTTTCTGAAAGCCTGTGTCAAACCTTTTTTAACTAATTGTTCCATCGAATGTGCTATTTTACATAAAAGCTCTCGCAACTTTTTCTGCAGAAAAGTAATCTTGCTAAATTTGTAGTAAAATATTGAAACGTGGAGATTTATATTTCAGGTAAAATCTTTATGGCTTTATACAATTACCCAGTTAAGTGGAAAATTGCAACAATCTTGCCAATTCAGTGTCTTAAAAGTTGATAAATAATCAAAGTTCTGGGTTTTTTTTTAAATGCATAGTTAAATTTGCAGTTTTACTTTGTTTGAATAAACTGTCTCTGCTTGTACTAAAACAATAGCCAAACGGTTGGTTGATAATCACAACACATGATTAGTGAAAATCCCAGATAATTAACATCAACCAGGAGGTTTTTATTACTATTTAATTTCCCATTTGGAAAATTTCATATTCCTTGGAAAGAATATTACTTTTAGAGAATCTAATATAGCACTTTATGGGTCCTTAATTCTGATATTCTCTACTAGGACTAGTTAGCAGTGGATATCCATAGGTGGGAATAAACAGAGAACCACTTATCCAGAATTGTGAAATATATCATAAAAAGAGGATAATAACTCTTGCTCTTCTGTTAGTCTTTTGGATGCCAGGATAAGATTTTAATTCCCTAATTATGTTCTTGTTGGGGCGCCTGTAATCCTAGCACTCTGGGAGGCTGAGGTGGGAGGATCACTTGAGGTCAGGAGTTTGATACCAGCCAGAGCAAGAGTGAGACCCCAGTCTCTACAAAAAAAAAAAAGAAAAGAAAACTTAGCTGGGCCTGGTGATGCACGCCTGTAGTCCCAGGTACCCAGGAGGCTGAGGCAGGAGGATCAATTGAGCCCAGGAGTTTGACGTTGCGGTGAGGTATGATGATGCCACTGCACTGTAGCCAGGGTGACAGAGTGAGCCTCTGTCTCAAAAAAAAAAAAAAAAAAAAAGAAAGAAAAAGAAAAATTCTTGTTGCCTAGAGGATTTGCATATGAGAAGCCACTAAAACAATCAGGACAGTATATCAAAATATCCTAGAATCTCAACCTGTGACATCATCCCCCAAATCCTTGCCAAACCAGAGGAAAATCTTTCCAAATATGCTTCTTAAATTTAGAAAGTCCTCTGAATAGAAACCATGAAATCCTAAGACATCTTACAGTAAAGATTTACTATATATTTTATATTTTTCTAATGAAAAATAGAGAAGCCATGGTTCCCAGTGTTGGGCAGGGGGTAGGGGACAGAAGTCAGTTGTAGGAAGTTCTTTTGTAACGACACATGCTTGACACTCCTATTCCTCTCCTCTTCTAATATGCAGAGTTTCTAGGTTCTAGGTAGGGTTGGGAAAAATTTCCCAGATTGTTCTGATATCTAACAGCTCATCCACCTTGTCTATGGCCACTGTGTTTGGGAATTTTGATTGTTAAATTCTTGAATCACAATAAGTTAAATTTCAAATGGAAAATTCTTAGAGATCATACTTAGAGGAAATTATGTATAAAATCTAATATATAAGGCATTGAGGTAAATACAAAGATTCCACTTCCTCTACTTAAAAAATTGTGTGCACACAAAAACGGTTAAGAAGCTAACCTCAAAATGCCAGATAGGTACATTCATGCTACATCACGCCTTCCTCTCACCCTCAATCCTTTATTCACTGCTGTCCGAATACGATCATCCCTCAACCTGAGAATGTGAAGGGCTACTGGTAAGGGACTATCTCCTCTGGTTTGGCAAGGAGTTGAGAGATGATATCATAGGTTGAGATTCGAGGATATTTTAATATTGTCCTGATTGTTTTAGTGGCTTCTCATTTGAAAATCCTTTAGGCAACAAGAACATAATTATGGAATTAAAATCTAATCCTGCATCCAAAAAAACTAATCCCCAGAGTTTGGTAAGTAGGGGTCCTGGAACCAATTCCCCACAAATACAGAGGGATGACTGTACCATCCATTTTACCTCAGAAATTTTGTATTTGTCCTTTCTTTTTAAATCCTACAACTGTGTTTAGTTTAGGCTTCTGTTTTCTTTACATCTTTCCCTTCAGCTTACCCTTTCGATTTTCTTCAAACTTGAAATTTAATGAAGTCACTGTCCTTATATTAACGTATCACATACATTTGTATGCATAAATATAAATGAGTGTGGATATCAAATATTCCTAATATTTTAATTAGCTTTTTCACAGGCTGATCTCAGCTCTGCCTTTCATCATTCCTAGTAGACAGTTGACACTCTAGACACATTTCTTCAGGTCATTGGAAAGATATCTCTCATTGTAAATGGATATAACCCATATGTCTTATGGATCAATCTCTTACAGGTTTGTTTAAGTAAATGGTGAAGAAATGTTGAATTCCCTGACACAATTGCACTGACACCCTATGAGACTTGTCAGGCAGTCCTCTGACTTCCCTTTTAGAATATGGAATTGAGCATTCCGTAAGTACAGCATGTCAGTGTTTTGTAATAAGGCATTTGTTGCCATACTACATTGTGAGATCCTTTAGCGAAGAGACTCAGTCTGTCCCCAGTGCGTTATATTGACATTCGTTCAATAAAAATAAGAATTTATTGCATACCAGGCATTCTGGTAGAGGGCGGGGGTATTATAATAGAGCAAAAACAGACACTTTGAGAGTTAAAGTCTAGCACAGGAAACAATCATACTGTAAAATCACAACTGAGAAAAATATTAATAGTATTAAGAGACATATAGTGCTGTGAGAATCGATAATAGAATCCTAGTGAGGAAAGTCTCCCCTAAGGAAATGACATGATCTAGAACTGAAAAATTAGTATGAAGTAAATAGGCAAAAGAGGGACGTGGAGAGATTCTTTCCAGATAAAAGAAATGACATGGGCAAAAGTTCTGGAGCCAGAGAGATCATGTCAATGCACTTCTCAGTTTGCCAAGAACAGGCCTTACTTACTTTCAGAAATGTCTGATTTGGATGGTAAGGTACATGGTCACCCTAGCTATATGGGACTATAAGAAACATGGTACTGCTGGAGCAAACAGCCACTGAGCAAAATGAGGCTACATAGAGGCTAAGCCATTCAGGGCTGAAAGTCTAAAGTATATTCTTCATGACAATGGGAAACCACTGAGGGATTTTAAACCAGGTGGTACCTTAATGGGATTGGCAAATTGAAAAATTTACTCTAGCTGTAAGTC